GCGCTTTATGCAGCCTGTGAATTTTAGTCCTAACAACAACTCCGCAAGGTAACATTATGAACCCACTTTAGAGACGAGGAAATGAGTCGCGGGGACATCAGTAACTTGCCGAGATCGTACAGCAAACGGGTGCCGAGGCTGGGATCCGCACCCAGAGCGCCAGGCCTCCGAGGCAGCGCGTCAGCCTGCTGCGCCCCGAGGTCATCGGGCTCCGGCTGAGCCCGCGTCCTGGGCGAGCGCTGATCTTCACGTTGCTCCTGGTCCCGCCCCGTCCTCCCCAGCCGCTCTCGGCCTTCTCTCGTAGCACATCACGTAGTAAGCGCACACCTAGGCTTGTCAAGGCAGAGGGAACGTTGTCACGAGTAATCAAAACTCAGAGGGGGAGAGGGAGCCGCAGAGGGGCCGAAAAGAGAAGCGACTGCATTATTTTTCTTCTTAGTACCGGCTTGCCTGATCTTACGGGCCAGTTTGCGTACTTCACTGAGCTCATGAGGCTGGGGAAGACCAGAAAAATATGAGCCCTAAACTCTGCATCTGCGTTCAGTCAGACAGATGGCTGTCTGTATTTCCACTGCGTCGCCAGGAGTGTTAATACCATTTTCACCATTTTTAACATGGGCTGTTGCTGTCCATTTGTTTTTGTGTTAGTAAATATTTTTACTATTTTATTTTTTTTTTAGTTTTTTTTTTTCTGGTACCGGGAATCGAACTCACAACCTTGCGCTTGCCAGGCAGGCACTATGCCGCTGAGCTACATCCGCAGCCCCTAGTAAATATTTTTAAATGAGAGCTTTTCCATTATCTCACTGTATTCTTTATGATAGCCAGATTACTTTGGAAAGGCAAGAATGACACAGTCCCATTTTCCCGGATGACAGAATGAGTTGAGGTTATACACTCACTTCTGGACAATCTTCAGTCCCTCGACATCACCTTTTAGCTCCTGTGGCTGTCCCCCGGGCAGTAGTTTCCTGGCTGTAAACAGAGGTATATTTTCAATTTGGACTAGCCTAGTGTCTTCTTTAATCAAACACATAATTTCTTCAGACTTTGATAGAAGGGTAGAGAGTTTTAAGAACTGACCCCTTAACTAACCGTCTTCTTCTCACTTGCTTTTACAGACCAGTGACCTTTTCTATTTCCTAGTGAACAAACTTCTGGAGCACTTGCCAGAGTCTAAGGATAAGAGCGCACTACACAGTAAAAGCCAAAGGGCTGACGAGCTGGTGTAAGTACTGGATAATCTGATATATGTTAAAGGTACATGATAGGCGCTCAGCAAAATGTATGCAGTACTAAGGGTTAATGGTGGTGTGAGTTTTGCTACATGCAGATTTTTTAAAAAACAGCATTCCTTTTGTTCTAATTTTAAGGGAAGGATGCACAAGAGACTAGAAATACAGGCTTCCCTAAAAGGGAAGAAACGGTTGACGGGAGAAGAAACATCTTTTCAGTGTCCTGTATTTTCTTTTTTTCCTTTGACATTTTGAGCCATATATTACCTATATTAAAATACTAAAATTATCTGAAATAAACTTAAAGTAGTGTGTGGTTACCCTAAAAAGGTTGGGGAGATAAACATACAAAAATATGACAGTGATTTAATCCTGACAGGAAACTATCAGCAGCCACTCAGGCAACCCGTGCACCGTTATTCGTGCGTGTACTATGACAATGTCATTCATCGAACACACGATGGCTTACAACATAGCAGCACAGACAAGGCACTTCGCCGATGCTGACAATTTTGATTCATTTTGTTTTGTTTTTTGAGAGTTCGGACTGGCTTTGAATTCACTATGTAGCTTAGGCTGGCCTTGAATTTGTGGTGAACCTCCTGCCTCAGCCTCCTGAGTGTTGGGATTACCGGTGTGCACCACCAAGCCCAGCCAGTGTTGACAGTGTGATGTGAAGGCTTTTCTACACTTTTCTTGTACGGATGTCTAAAGCGATTGTCTCCTGGATTCCTGCTTTCACATAATCCTGAACTTCTGATGAAATCAGGCTGTCTCCATTCTTTTTCCTCTTTGCTTCCTAGGGCATGCATTGAAATTATACAGACCCTGGGACTGATGTTCCGAGAGACAGAAATTGAATCCGCACGCCTGAATACACTGGCCGCTAAGAAGTAAGTTTTGTGGGTTTTTTTGGATCTTGTAGCTGCAACCCGTTACTACCCTTGAGTGTCTTTTAAATATTCTCACCGCTGTAACTCCTGTTTAACCCCTCAGAAGGATATCACACTCTCTCATGTTTCCGCTTCCTTCTGTGAGGAGATTAACTGGCACATGCTATCCCTCTGGATTATTAAGGGCACAAAGATTTTCTTTCCTTCGTCCTAGTCTGGCATATTTGAGAAAGGCCAGCTGAGCCATCATGCATGAAAAGTCTGCATTAGAATTTCCCGGGGCACATCTATATCCACAACAGAAAATTACATGGCAAAGGCAGTGGCTGCGGTAGCCAATTTGTTATGGGTAGTCATGCGTTGCTTAGTGATAGGGATGTGTCTGCTCACACGAACCTAGAGGGATAGGCTGCCGCACACCTAGGCTGTATGGTGTATACGTGTGTGTACGGCATAGCCTAGTACTCCCAGGGCTGTGACGCACAAATCCACACGAGGTTAAACCAGCGCGAGAGCAAGTGACGCGGGAAGCAGATGTCTGAGGCTGCTGCTGCTGTAACAGCATCTTGTTTCACAGTAAATTTTTTATTTATTAGGAATACACTAAAATAATACTAAAAAGCATAGTATAGCAAACACACAGCCGGTAACACTGTCATTTATTATCATTATGTACGAATAGAATTGTATGTGCTGCACTTTTATGGGACACGCCACACAGTAGGTGTGTCTACAGCCGCAGCACCCCGAACAACCTGAGCCGTGCACTATGCTACAGAGTTATGACAGCTGCATGTCATGGGCTACAGCGTCATGAGGAGATAGGAATTTTTCAGCTGCAGTATAATCTCACTGGACCGTCATTAACAAAAACCTCTTTATCATTCGGCACGTGACTGTAACTGTAGGACCCCGGAGTGAATGACGTTGAAGAGTTTACAGCATGTAGGATACGCTGCTGTCGTAAAGATTCTCTAAAATACATGGCCAAAGGGAGATGGGAATTCAGGTCCTTAGGAGTTTGCTCTTGGATAGTGCTTTCCCTGTGTCCTTATGAAGGCCGTGTCTGCTTTGCTTCGGAAGAAGTTCTTTGACGGAGCACGCTGCCTGGTGAAGTAACCTGAGACGCATTGCAGCTGTGATGTCTAGTGAAATCCATAAAGTGGAACCAGAGAGCTTCTGATGCTGGCAGCTCTACCTCGGCTGCTGCTGCAGCTTCCTCTAACTAAGTCCAAATGGTGGAGTAACCTGCTGTGGAAGAGCACAGCTTCTGCTCAGGCTAAGGGATTCACCGACCTGTCTTACAGGGTCAAAGCAACTCAAGCAAAACCTCATCCAACAAAACCCATTTAAGTTTCACGGGTTTTGCGTGCTCTTTCATAGGAACCTGTTTAAGTTTCGCGGGTTTTGCGTGCTCTTTGGCAGGAACTGCCTGTATACTTGTGCCCAGCTACGGCATTGGTTGTTCCGCAGATGCTGTGACTATCCCAGCTAGCTCTGGGGTCAGCCTTTTGGTGTGTCTTCATCGTGTTCACTTGGCAAGGCAGGACTCAAGACACGAATGTAGCACTTCTGTTTTTAATACCTGCAGCTTACACGCTCCAGCAGTATACAGTCCTTAAAGGGGACTTGAGGAAGCTAGCCTCCCCAGGATTCCTGAAAATCTTTCCACCTACCAGGATAGTCTAGCAGTGTTTCCGAGTTTTGTGTCTTTGGTGCAGGAGAAATATCTCATAGGGGCGTGTGACCCTTGGTGCCGAGTCTGGGTTTCTCTGTAATAAATCCCTTGGCAAATGCAGAAGTTGCAGTCTTGCTACGGGTAAGAGCACATGGGTGAGCAAGCCTGTCCTGGTGCCGGGAGCATCTCCCTGTAGGGCTGCAGTCTGGAAGACCATCTCGGTGCAGGAAGTGGACTCGCAGGAGGGCTGCATGCAGTGCCCCTGGCAGGCCCCACCAGCCACTTCTGAGCAGTAACATGGACGTGACTTGAGGAGGTGGCTGGTGCGATGCCCGCCCTGGGGTACTTGGGTGCGTGGCCGAGCCAGCCAGGAGGACTTCCGATGGTTAAGCAAAAAATAAGAGATTCTTGGTTAAGCTGAAGACTTCATTGGGGAACCAAAAACAAGAATCTCTTTGACCTTGAGCCACACATTTTCCTTGAAAAGTATGCATTTTTCCTATAATTTTGTGGGGATTATATTATTGACAGATGAAGTAAGATGAATAAGGTGAGGTTTTACTTAGTATTGTACTATACTGGAAATCTGAAGACCTACAGCAGATTTAAATTCCAGCTCTCATAACTTTTTAAGGTTGTGAAACTACAGAAATGCACATGAATCGAGTTCTAACATATCTATGACGGGTGGCTGGGGCAGGCCGTTGTGCCATTTCTTTCTTTGGAGTCTCAGGGCCGGTTTGGCAGTTCAGGAATTCTGTAACATTAACAAGTTCAATAAGAAGTAAATACATGGATCAAAAAGGAAAAGAAAGTTAGGTCTTTCTCACATAACAGCCCGGAGCAGACAGTCAAGCTTTCTCCCACAAGGTCAATGCGGGACTTGCGTTTCTTCCCTTTCTTACTGAGCCATCTTCTACCAGGTCGTTTCTCTCCTCATGGCGGAAGCTGGCTGATCTTCCTGACTTCCTCACACACTTAGAAAAGGGCAAGTTTTCTTTTTTCTTTCCTGTTTTTTTTTTTTGGTCTGGATGAGGGGCGAGGGGCGCTTTACCACGGAGCTATATTCCTATCCCTTTTTATTATTTTAGACAGCTTCTCTCTGAATAAATCAGGCTGGCCTCAAACTTGTGATCCTCCTGCTTCAGCCTCCCAGGTAGCTGGGATTATACGAGTGCACCACCATGCCCAGCCAGATTTCCTGTGTAAGCAAAGCACATAACACTTTCGCTGATATCCCATTAGTGAGAACTAGAAAGGCGCGAAAATGTAGCTGTAGTTGGGTGGCCCTGTCTGTAGTGGACCTCGGATGGTGGCGAGGACATCTGATATTAAAAGGAAGCAGGGAAGAATATGGGGTTAACCATATTCTTCTCTGCGGAAAGTATGTGTTTGATGTTTGAATTATGATCTGCTTGACTCTCTCATACGTGCTTAAGGACCATGAATTCTATCCTTGGGTAAAGTTTTGGCTAAAACCTTATCCCCCTGCAACCCATCACTGATTGTCTAAATTGACTATATTATAAAGTGGGAAAAAAAATGAGGGTCCTGGACTCTAGAATAGTGACTTTTAGTAAAACTTTTCCAATTTTTTTTTCTTTTTGTCTTTTTGAGACAGGGTCTCGCTATGCCGTTCAGGCTGGCCTTGAGCTCCCTTTGTAGCCCAGGCTGGCCTCGAACCCGCAACAATCCTCCTGCCTCAGCCTCTCGAGTGCTAGGATTACAGCATGGTGGTGCACCACCATGCCCGGCAGCTCCAAGTTATTTCTTTTTTTTCAAGTTATTTCTGTTTTTGTTTTTTTTTTGGTTTTTTTGGTTTTTTTTTCCGGTACCAGGAACCGAACTCACAACCTTGCGCTTGCCAGGCAAGCGCTTTGCCGCTGAGCTAAGTCCCCAGCCCCTCAAGTTATTTCTGAAAGATTTTTAAAAATAAGGTTTTGTTTTTTTGTTTTGTTTTGTTTTGTTTTGTTTCCGGTACTGGGAACCGAACTCACGACCTTGCGCTTGCCAGGCAGGCGCTGTGCCGCTGAGCTAAGTCCCCAGCCCCTAAAAATAAGTTCTAATGATAATGTTTCTTACTATTTCTTAAGTAACCTGATATATGCTGGGAACTACAGGAATACGGTGCTCTGTAGCAGGAATCTGCAAACCTTTCTATAAAGAGCCGTTAGTAAATATTTTTGTTTTCCAGGCGTACAGTCTCTATCGCAACTCCCCAGCCCTGCCGTAGCAGCGCAAAAGCAGCCCCCGACAGCACCTACGTGGCACGGCTGCGCTCAGTAACCTCACAGGGCTGGGGGTGTAGCTCAGTGACAGCCTCCTTACCTGGCGTGTGTGAGGCCCTTGGTTCAAACCCCAGCCATGCAGACAAACAAGCGAAGAGCGGCTTTATTTATAAAAACCGGCTGTGCCCTGAGTTGGCTTGTAAGCCGTAGTTTGCTGAGCCCGGCTTTACAACGCACAGGACGGGACTCCGCTGCTGCTTCTCCTGCTTCGCTCTGCGGGGCAGCACTGCCGTTTCTCTACTCTCCCGGATGGAAATGCAGGACTGCTTCTGTGTTCTCCCACGCTGAAGTCTTTGAAGTCTTTTCTGCCTTGTTCTCTACCTCTTGGTTTCCACTTTTCTCTCTAGTTGGATAACCTCTTTACCAGGGGCTGGGGATTTAGCTCAGTGGCACAGCACCTGCCTGGCAAGCTCAAGGTCGTGAGTTCGATTCCCGGTACCGGAAAAAAAAACAAACAAACAAAAAAGGAAACCTCTTTGCCATTTTCATGTAATACAACATAGTCATCGGCACGGCAGTCAAGCATGATCTCAGGTCCTGCCCGTAATTAAAGGACTGTACAGGAAGCAGATCTGGATACCCGTATCTACCTCCATCTCCAAGAAGTGGGAATCGTGAGCCATACCAGAATTTTGCCTCCCACGATATCGTAGACGGCCTTATGGAACCAAAAGCTTGCCCTACAGTGTCTGTATTTTAAAGCATAGCATATTAAAAATTCATATTAGAAATAACAACGTGAAAAATGATAGTATTAAGTGGTTAGGACTTTTTTTTAAGCCGGTGATGTCAGTCCTGTAAGGCTGTATTTTCAGGATGAAATTACCACTTCAATTAAAATTATTGACCTCGTGGCAGAAGGGGTGGATTTAAAATTAAATTCTATTTGAGCAAATAAAAGGCAGTTACTCACTTTCACTTTTCCCTCTATATTATTTTCATAAGTGGAGATATTATTAGTTCAATCAACTTCCCTGTATCTGTCATGAAATATGCCATATCCCTTTGATTTTCAGTATTCTTAGGGTTGAATTAATATATTAGCACAGTAAGTGACCCAGTATTTGAGAGTTCCTTCCCTTCGCTTTGAAAAGAAGCTGTTACTGAAAATAGAGGACTATAATTCAATGTAACAGTGACTGGAATGTCAATTTAAACTTAATATCAGGAAAAGCTTCTAGAAAGAGCATTTTTTTTTTT